CGGCAGCCAATCATCACTCCAAATTAACGCATATACGTCACTTTTTATGATGTTGGTTCAACTTTGCTTTTTGAAGCAGAACTAAATGGCTCCAAAAAATTAAAAAATAAATAAAATACCCACTTTTCCATTAATAATAGACATAATGAGTGCTATTGTTTTCACTGATGTGCAATTTGTACATATATGCTAATATCTCAAAAAATGTGTTTCAGTGTATCATAAAAATGCAGATGAGCTGAAGGCCACTGTCAAAGAAACCAGGGCTTCCATACCACCTCAGCAGTGCCACAAACTGATCACCTCCATGCCACGCCGAATTGAGGCAGTAATTAAAGCAAAAGGAGCCCCCACCAAGTATTGAGTACATGTACAGTACATTAATATACTTTCCAGAAGGCCAACAATTCACTAAAAATGTTTTTTTTTATTGGTCTTATGAAGTATTCTAATTTGTTGAGATAGTGAATTGGTGGGTTTTTGTTAAATGTGAGCCAAAATCATCACACAATTAAAAGAACCAAAGACTTAAACTTCAGTCTGTGTGCATTGAATTTATTTAATACACGAGTTTCACAATTTGAGTTGAATTACTGAAATAAATGAACTTTTCCATGACATTCTAATTTATTAAGATGCACCTGTATTAGAATTATTTCTGAAGGATCATGTGACACTGAAAACTGGTGTAATGGCTGCTAAAAATTAAGCTTTGCCATCACTGGAATAAATATATCAATTATGTAATATATATTAAAATTGAAAACCGATCATTTTTTATAATATTTCATAACACTGTATTATTCATCAAATAAATGCATCCTTGGTGAGCATTAATGAGAAAAAAAAAGCTTGCTGGCAGTAGTGTTTTTATATATGGCACAACGTGTACTACAACATAACATTAACAATTTATATATTGCCTGCATATATATATATATATATATATACATACTGTATATATATATATATATATTCCATCAGTGTACACTGTTACCTTGGTACCCCTGTAATAGTGTAGTTATGGCATCTACCAGCTGGAGTCTGAACCAAACCCCATTATTGTGTTCATACAGACACAATAAGCCATCAGAATCAGTCCCCTGATGTCAAGAAGAGTGGAGCTCCTTATTAGCTCTATAAATGAAAGAAAACTTCAGTGAAATCTCTGAGCAAACATCTAGCTCAGTGTAGCGTGTGGACACCTTTGCTCTGACAGTCAAAACAACCAACACTCATTTGTTTTTCTCTTTTGTTTTCACTCTTCCATTAATATTCCACTTTCAGTCAGATCCAAAGCAGATAGGAAGGTGTGGAAAAAATAAATATGCAGATATGGTATAAGCCTCAGTAGGCTGATACACTTCTGGATCAAGAGGAATGTAGAGAAAGCAGGGGGAAAACAGATTACATGTGCAGTTCTTTGAGAGTTTCAAAGTGAGTTCTATGTGTGTGAGCTAGTATTTTACATACTGCATTTTGATTACAATCAATAAATGGCTGAGGCTCTTATCGTCTAATTTATCCATTTAAGATTTAGCTGAATGAATAAAGGTCAAAGCCTTGATTACAAACACCGTTAAATCTCTTGCAATGGCCTAATCAGAAAACTCAAATACTTGAAGTGTCTGTGCGAATGCATTAGGCGAGACATTGAATGGAAGTGGAACAGCATACAAACACACTTTCAGTCAGATCCAGCCACGAGAGCCTGCACGTCTCTTATTTATATCAAATGCATTTGTTTTGATCATATGCACACATACACAATGCCTTGCAAAAGTATTCAAACCCTTAACCAATTTTCTCATTTTGCTGAATTACAAATGCCTCTTTGAAATGCAGTTCTCTGTGATATTATTTCTGAGCAATGAAATTCAAAATTAACTACTTTAATATGACATTTATTTACGTTATAAAATATGCTACTTAAATAAAAACTGAATTTTGCTGTCTCTGTTAACGTGTCCAATCACAGCTCTTGAACATTTCATACAGACACCATTTCAAGCAATTACAGCTTTTGTCTCTTGGGGTAAACACACCGTTCAGGTGCAATTCTTCTCCCGAACAGTGATTCGCTCCAGGTTGTTCAGGTTTGATAGTTCAAAATACACTTCCTTATAATTTGGATAAGTACTAGACACACAGACACACACGCATTTGTCTTCATAGATCAAAGCAGAATGAGAATACAGAATTTACTCATGAATACATTTATGGGCCATTTAGAAGTAAGCCATAATCCTTAACTCAGTCCAGAGGGAGCTTTTGTTTGGCCTGTAGTTGGTGTAGTCAGAGCTGTTAAGCCCTCTATCCTGCTGGGTGTTTTTTTGTGTTTCATCTCTGTGTCCCAGATTGTATTGTGTGTTCTTCTGTAGTGTATATTGCATGTTTAAAGTGTAAATTAGTTTAGATTATATAACACACTGTGAGATCTCTCGCTCAGAAATATTCCCATGTGGGCACAATCCAGTCCTCTTAGAATGACACTCTAATTGACTCTTGAAATTAGTTTCAGAAAGTGTTAAATGAGCCTCCAAAAATAAAACAAATATTAGCTTCGACACAGATTCGTGGATAAACCCTTTCTTTGTCCTAGTGTTGACAAAGAGTTATTTGAATCATCTTTCATCGGCCTACAGCGATTAACCTGATCAGCTGTCAGACTGCAGGACTTTTATGTGAGCGTGTACAGTAGCACCCTTATTTAAAGGGGTATTAAAGGTTCAATACAAGTTAACCATACTCAATATCACTTGTAGCATAATGTTGATTATCACAAAAAATCATTCGACTTGTTGAGATTATTTTGAATAAAAATACACCGTCTATGTAAATATACAACATTTATGCCATGACAGCATAACTCAAGAAGGTCGAGAAGGTCTTTACAGCTCAAATAATATACATAATTTATATAGAAGAATTCTTCTGTTAAATAATTTAAAAGAATTAATGTTAGTGTTTACCAAATTGTAAGCTTCACATTTCTGCTTTTAAAATCCTCCAAAAATGCCCTCAATTCACTCCCGTTTCACCATAACCTTGATTTTGTGTGTCATTTAAGCTTAACTTGTATTGAACTCTGAATATTCCTTTTACATTAAGACATGATGGTTAAACATGTGGGTTAGATACATGATATGGGGTTAGATATATAGCAATGGTTAGTTGCTCGAGTCCTTTTAGTGTCATTTAGGTGCATGGAAAGGCAGTTTCCGTGCCATTCTGTGAATGTATGAAGACCAGAGATTAAGAGTTCTGTAAGGAATTTCCGAAAGTCTGTTCTTTGTCGTGAGGTGGAGGGAAAAGTCAATCCGAAGCTTGCTTCAGCCTGGCTAATGCTCGGGTCTGATTTATGACATCCTGTTGTCTTGGGCCTCTGTGGAATTTTTGTGACTCCTCGTGCCTCAATCATGTTTTACCAAATCTTAGATTGTCTGATTCGGTCTGATATCCTACACTACTTTCACGACTCACAGCAGCAATGCCTCCTAATGAGCTATTTTGATTATTTGAGACATTTAAATTCCAACTTTAGTGTCTCTTTACAAATTCTCGGCTGGCTGCATGTTTTCTGATTGTGTTTGTTTGAATTGTGCCTCACTTGCACCAAATTAATTTAATGAAGGAAGAGGATTATCCATTGTTAATTAGATCCTCACTGGCAGGAACTGACTTGGATTAGCTGAAATGAAAACTGTTTTAGTTCTGAACATCTGTACATACAGTATGCATTTAAAACAACGCATCTATGTCTACGTATATAAATTATGGTTATACTTACATTGTTTCTGTTCCACCAGGTGCGTCTGTCTTATTTTCTTATTCACTTTGTGGTTGTATTCCATCAGTATCCAATTACTTTAGTCTGAAGTTTTTTAACTAATGTCTTCCTTTTTGCTAAAGCCACCTTGAACCATCCAATTTGTTTGAATAGCTATTTGGTCAGCCACTTTCTTATCTTAAAAAACGTCCTTCCACTCCTCACTGCTGAATTCAGATGGCATGCCATCACGCTGGCTGAGGAAGATCTACAGTGGTGCATGTAATTGTATATTCATTTTAAATAACTGCATCGAATTATATTTGATGTCCTTGAAGTAGCCAGGGCATTGGACTGAGGGATTTAAATGCTCTAATTTAAACATATCAAATGACTCCTGTTCTGTTCAGTTCATCCCTTTTTTAAAAGATGATATTCACAGCATGCTGATAATATTGGCCTCATCTTGAGGGACATGTTATCCATCTATACTCCACTCACTTGACAAAGATTTTATTTGTAAACAGATTTTATGAACAAATCAGCTGACAAACAAATGACTCTGCAAACAAACATTTTTCAAATTAAATAACTTTCCAAACAGCTTTTGAAAGAAAGAAAAAACACCAAACAAACTGATCTCAAATTAAAAGACTTTCCAAACAATTGCTTAATAAATAAAAAACAAACTTTCACCAAACAAACCATTTTCAATACTCTCCAAACAAATTGCTTAGTAAATAAAAGACTTTCCAAACTATTGTCAAAATAAAAGACTTTCCAAACTATTGTCAAAATAAAAGACTTTCCAAACAAACAGCTTTGCAGACTAATGGCTCTTTAAACAAATGGATATTCCAATAAAAATCTCATCCCACTCACGCCTCTGTCACCTCCCGTTTCAATAATAATTCATTTCATTTAAAATCTGGCACAGTATCACACTAAATTTCCTGCTTTGTCTTAGGTGGCATGTGGAAGTGCCAGTCTGCAGTAAAACCACATGAATATGTTTAGTAAGAGTTTGTGATAATTCACTACATTTGGAACATAATAATAAAAACAGATGGAATATAATTATTATAAGGTGCTACAGTTGTGTAAGTGTGATATGATGTATCTGTCTGTTTTTTTATTGCTGCTAGGCTGTTAAACAAGAAAGAACATGTGTAGAAGCAGCTTGTGCATATTTCAGTGACTAATGTCTCTATTTCTTGCTCTTTCTCTGCAGGTATGGAGACATGGTCCCTAAGACTATAGCAGGAAAGATCTTTGGCTCCATCTGTTCTCTCAGTGGGGTGCTGGTCATCGCTCTGCCTGTTCCCGTCATCGTTTCCAACTTCAGCCGCATCTACCATCAGAACCAGAGAGCTGACAAGCGTCGGGCTCAGAAAGTTCAGGTCAGTGGGGCTCAAAACTCCCTGAGGGGCATTGTCTCCTCTGACCGGGACTGCTTTGGCTGAGAAGCAGGTCACTAATGTTTACCTCTGAGTAATGCTCCTGTTAAAAAATCATATCCTTTTCCATCTTACGATTAAATAAAGATAAGTGATTTTCTTAGGGTCCCAAGAGCAGTTTTGAAGGCTACTAGTCAAGGCTGGAGAAATGACGGGGGGTTTGTGGGTAAAATCAGGTGACAGATGTCATTCCCCTGTGGTGGTACCATGGTACAGTGATGGTATCAGACCGTAATGCTATGGGAATCTAAAATACACATTTCAAAAGTTTGGGGTCACTAAGGACGGATACATTAAACTGATCAAAAGTGACAAAAGACATTTTAAACTTTCTACTCATCAAAGAATCCTAAAAAAAGTGTCACCGTTTCCACAAAAATATTAAGCTGAATACCTGGTTTCCACACTGAAAACAATAAGAAATGTTTCTTGAGCAAATCAGCATAGAATGATTTCTGAAGGATCATATGACACTGAAGACTGGAGTAATGGCTGCTGAAAATTCAGCTTTGGCATCACAGGAATAATTTAATTCTAAAATATATTAAATAGAAAACAATTTATTTTAAATTGTAATAATATTTCACAATATTTCTGTTTTTACTGTATTTTAACCAAATCAATGTAGCTTTGGCGAGCATAGGACACTTCTTCCAAAAACATTTTAAAAATCTTACCAACCCAAAATTTTGAACGGTTCATCCCATGATACTGAATGATTATCATATTTATTTAACATGGTATTTACAAAGGTAGTTCAAAAAATATAATGGTACTACCATGGCCATTTTTTTTATTATTGTTGCCAGGGCACTGGTGTTCCAGTCCCAGCTTCACAGTAAAATAAGTGTTTATTATTTATTATACAAAATTATTTAATCCCTCACAGAAAATCCCAAATCTACTTTTATAGTTTTGATAGTCTGAGCAGCTGAGGCAGATTGTAGGGGAATGTCTTTTCTCGCAATCGCCTGTCTTACCACAGGTATTTTATTGTTCTTTATAACTTTTCTCAGTTGATATTCACTCTTTTCCCTTGTCTGATGAATAAGGTTATTAAACTTGTTTGTTTCCGGGTGCATCAAAAATAATAGTACTACTCCGCCATCCTTTTCGGTCCTCGTACGAAATAACACCTCAAACAAACAGCCTTAATGTTAAATTAAGCCTTTCTCTTCTCCCTGGGGGAATGAAGGGATGACCTGTCACTCGTTTAATGGCAGCATGGCGTCAAAAGATTGAATCTAGACTCTGAATGAGATCCCAGCAGGGTTACATGCCCTGCATCTATCACTCCATCCCTCCATGTCCTCCTCCGAAACGTCTCTATATCTCTCTCGGAAGGTTATTTAGTTTGGGCGTAATTATCTGTTAGATCACCACGGGCCTCTCGGCTTGATTTTGCTATGCTAATAATTGCAAATATTACTGGAGATTAGCTTGATCACAGAAAAACAATGCCAAGGCAACTCCTATGACACGCCACGTGTGCACAGAGAGAGAGAGAGAGACGTCAGCTCCAGCACTCAGTGGTATGTTATGCTTGCAGTCATGGATTTAATATATGCTAATGAGGAATTAATGTATGCTAAGATTTTGGGTGGGTTTACAGGGTCACATTGTCTCCGCAGCCAAGATTCCCAGTGGCTTTAGCATTTTAGGGTTAATTTAAAGTTTATCCAGTATGGCAGATTATTACCCAGAATTCTTTGCGTTCCCACTGCAGCAGTGCCCGGTCTGCACATTATCTCACCTCAAACATTTTCTGCCCTTTCTACGCATAGGGGATACGAGTTCAGTTTCAAGTCCAAACTAAAGCTGCCAGATGCGACCAAATCTCTTAGGACCATCTTAAAAAACGTGTTCTGTGTGTATGGGTGGGTATTTAAACACATCCTGCGTAGTGCTGGGTGGTATGACCAAAAATTGATATCACGGTATTTTTCAAAATTATACCGGTTTCACGGTACATGACGGTATTTCTTTTTCATGCATGACTGGGTGTTAACCATATTTTCTACTGATTGAGAGAGGAAATACTGCAGTATATTGACTTAGAATGCCCTGTTTTACTGTCATGATGAGTGAATATTGTCAAAAAATACCACACTAAATACGACCCCTTTTAATGTTAACCAGGAGTCACTCTCATTTATAATCGCGGCATCGTCTGATAAAATCAACATGCATCTACACTAAAGAGCGGCTATGCGGTTGTTTTGGCTATATTACTTTTTTGTCTCATGCAGCGCACTGCCTGCGTCTGAGTAACGAACTAAAAGAAACAACAAACAAAAAAGTGCATGTGATATTAACAGACGAACTACGCTCATATTTATAATTCCAAACAATCAGTAAGCGACAGGTGCTTGGAAACGTTTTGTACTCATTTATTGACGAGTCGGCTGTGGAGCGGCCAACTGAATGTGCTGCTTCTCTGCCGCTCACTGCACAGAACAGATGCCGAGAGAGGTGACAGTTCTCCGGGAAAGTCAGACCTCACGCTTGCAGGACAGCACTGGCGAAATCTTTCAACTGAACCATAGCTAAGGTTTATCCAAAAAAGTCGCTAGGGTTGACCGTATGAATATTCTATGGAAAAAAGCAGCTAAAAGGGTCTGAAAGCTGCTAAATCTAGTGCTAAAGTCGCACTCGTGTGTGTGAGACGCGGGAGCTGATGGCAGGGGGCGGTGGATATTTGTGGCGGTCAATGTGGATATTGTGGATGAGTTCTTCTGTGTCATCACGTTCTATTAGTTCTACAGCTTCAGTTTCGGAACTTTCACGCTTAGTAACACATGCAGCTGTTCCCTCACCACAGTGCAACAGTGAAAAGGGACTTCTTTTAAACAGTGTCGCTTTCCGAGCGTTGTTTAAGCGACATACACCGGTATTGCAGTATTTTAAAAATTCATACCATAACAAAAATAAACACCGGTATTCGGTATGAACCGGTATACCGCCTAGCACTAATCCTGCGGTTAACTAAGAAGAGAGTGGCCTAAGTGCACTAACCTGCCTCAAGCCCCAAGTTAACCTCCACCGCAGGAACAGCTGTGCTTACTGTCCAAAGGACACGTGAGAGAGAGACACAGAAAGAGAGCCAGAAGGGACATTCATCCTAATGACAGTCCTTCCACAAATAGCTTGTCCAGAAGAGACCTGTGGGGAGGGGTTTGTTTATTTCAGCAGTCACTTTTGGGAGGTGACCTTCCTCCTTCTCACCTGTTGCCTAGTACCCAAAATACAGCACTGGTACTGCACCAAAACAGTGTATCTGTATTAATAAACCAAATCACTAGACCATTATTTCTGAAACAGCCTAAAAATGTAATATTACAGATCTGATATTAGTGGATGCACTCTAGATTCATACCAATCCATATGTGATGAACTGAAGAACTGAATTAGCACTCCTAATCATGTACAATTAAACAAAATATGTGGATGTGGGGGTGATTAAATTACTAATTGTTGTTAGGGCAGCACTATGAGGTCTTAGCAAACATTTACTGACCTATAATATCATCATAATAATTACAACATTAACAATTACATTTTTGGGTCACAATCTGGACCAGATTTAAACCCATAAGCACTGCAGTGCATGTGCTTAGACTCCAAATGTTAAGTGAGTGAGTGAGTGAAGTGACATGTGGCCAAGTATGGTTACCCATACTAGGAATTAGTGCTCTGCATTTAACCCATCCTAAGTGCGCACACACACAGCAGTGAACACACGCAGTGAACACACACCCAGAGCAGTGGGCAGCCATTTATGCTGCAGCGCCCAGGGAGCAGTTGGGGCGCTGAGGTGCCTTGCTCAAGGCCTCAGTCGTGGCACTGAAGGTGGGAGAGAGCAAATTATTCACTCCCCCCACCTACAATCCCTGCCGATATGAGACTCGAACCCGCAACCTTTGGGTTACGAGTCCGACGCTTTAACCATTAGGCCACAACTAACCATTAAGCAACAGCCCATATAAAAATGTCAATTCAAAAGACAGGGACTATACATGTCTACAAAAGAAAGGAAATCATATAGGTTTGTAATGACTTGAAGGCGAGAAAATGATGACACTCTTGTACCTAAAAGGTACATATTAGTACCTGTTGAAAGGGTACTGCCCCAGTGACAGATCTTTTACCTTTTTTCAGAGAGTTTGTCATTTACTCACCCTCATGTCTTTCCAAAGCTATATGACTTTTTTCTGAGAGTGCAGAATGTCATTTTTTGGTGACCTTCCCCTTTAACTATTGTTCCAGCATTGCACGGACACCTGTTAGAGCGTAACATCATTGATTTCTGCCACATCTGTACTAGCCTGATGAGATTTGTTCAGTTCGAGGGCTTTAGCTTACTTCTAGAGCATTCCAGAGCTTTCCAGAAGACTCTGAATTAAGAACATTGCAGATATGACAGCTGAGTTTGATGCAGAACCATCGAAGTGAGCATCAGCTTAATGAAACTTTGATCAAAGTGTGGAAAGCCACAGATTTTATATGCTGACTTTATCTTCCTGTGGCTGGTTGTGTCTCACCTCATGAACATTTTTTTTAGGGACTACAGAAAACTACACACACCAGGGCAGCTTATTAATAACTAATGCAAATCTGCACAGCCAGAAAGCTAAAAAGAACAGACCGTTTCTTAGACATCACACAATTCTTTCATGACTGATCACTCAATGATCTCATTATGCTCAAACTCTCATGGTTGATCCAAAGGTCTGAGTTTTGTTCAAAGTTAGTTCAGGAATCATAGTTTTGATCAAAGTTGATCCAGTAATTTGGGTTGATTTATTAGTCCTGAGAACAGTGTTAGCTGTGTTACTTTACTGCATGTTAATGACTTGTTCATTATAAATTCAGCACTTGCTTTACATACACACAAAGCAAATATGAACAAGATCTGGGATTTTGTTTTAACAGCAGTATATAGT